CGCCAAGGAGACCACGACCTTCTACGAAAATGCAGAACTGGAAATCCCACAAAGGGTAGTTCGTGGAGGTGAGACGAACTATAGGTTTTTCGGATTCCATTGTCGAAAGCTCTAATACCATGTAACGCAATCACAGACGATGAACATAAAGTAATAGACAGACCGATTTACGTGGTATCCCTAGAATTCCAGGACTAATCCACGAAAGAGTTTAGAACTCTTCGAGCACCAATTTACTAGATTGATCAGAGTTTACAGTTGTGTGTTCTATCTCACTACTGCCGCCCAAAACAAAGTAAATATACTCCTCAAGGGTATTCAGCCAACCGAACCCTAAGAGAGGCATCTACACGTACGTCTCCTCTCCTTGCATGGGTTGCATGGGTCTAACCTAAGCCCAATCATCATCCGCCCAATATACATATGGCCCAATACAATATGTACAACAAAAGAAAAGCAAAAACGAGCTACACTCGTCTAACATAGACTCGAACCATTTCTTCTTCGAATTGATTGGGATAAGAAATTTTGTTTTCCTGCTCTGATTTTGGGTACTAACTTGTAACTGAGAAACACGGGTTACCTTTCGGGTTCATACAACGACCCGCTACCTTACCTCGAAAGTTAACTCTGCAAAGACCAAGTGACAAGAATATATATATAGCTAGAATGCAAGGCAAGAGGATCATATCTTCCGAAATAGATAGATACTCTGGGACTTTACTGCTTATCGCTTGCTTCGCTTGCATAAGAGCAAGCTTAACAATCCAAAAGAACATGACTGCACAGAGGTAGAAATCATACTTCTTTGGGTGACCAACTTTGTTGTCAATGATGCATGGTTCCTCCACAACACAAAAGTACCAGAGTCTTAGCACCAATTCTAAACTGCTTTTATCTAATTTTTCAGAGAACAGACTTACCAGGTGGGAAATTGTCAGGACCTTTAGGTTGGAAGAACTTGGTATGATGATTCTTCTGAGCCACAATTAATGGAGACAAACTTTGGGTTCCATTTCTCATCCAGGAACTTGCAGGCAGGCCTGACCTATTGACGAAATTCTTTAAAAGATAAAAAGTGGGTACGATTTATTGCCAAAACTGCTATTTACTGTTTCACTTTTTGTTGTATTGTGCGTGCACTCCTCAGCGGCCTCCTCTGGCTTCACCTTGCAGCGACGAAATCTTGCTTCTGGAATTGCTGTCTGCCAGCCTCGACAGATGAAACCTTGCCCACTCCACCATGCTCTCCGTCCACTCCACCATGATCTCCGTACATCAAGTTCATGCCTTTAATTTTAGTCTTTTAGTCTTGGAGCTAGAAATTCGGAAGAGCACATCTTCCCGTCAGTTCGCCACTCCACTTTGCTTTCCCGTACATCCAACCCCTGTCTTCGTACTATTTCTACAGTGTTGTCCTCTCCCCACCAGTTGGCTACCATTGTACTTAGTGGGAGACAAATGGTTACCCTCTTTTCCCCTCCACAATCCCCTTCTTCTCTCTTGCAACAAAGACCCTAAAAGTTTCCTCGCTGCTGGTCTGTGGAACCCGAACCCCAATCCGAAAGCGGAGGAAGATGAAATCGATTTGGAATAGGACGACCAACGGCGGTGACAGAATCGCCTGTGATGGTGAGCCCTTACTTATCTGTCTTCTTTGTCGATATTTCAAATTTCAGCTTCTCGGTTTTGGACTCTAGCTGCAGAGCACGATAGTAATAATGAAGATTCCGATGACATGGTCTCGTCGAGTTTTTATTCAAGCCATATCCATGGATGAAGAACAGAAACTGAAGGTGGTGTTGATGATGGACCAGCAGGAGGACGGGGTGAGAGTTGTTGGAATCTCCGATGTTCAGGATGGAAGAAGGGAGAAGCTTGCGGTGGCCAAGGAGGGGCGAAAGACCAGGAAGCACAAGAAAAGCCAACGAGAGGTATGCAGTTTCAGTTTAATTGCCGCCAAAAAACGAACTTGCTTCTTACTTTTCTTGATTTAACTGTTGCAGGCACATGCTAACCATGGAGCAGCAACAGCAAACATGGAAAGCGTGGGAAGAGGGAGGTGTGGTTTAGTTAGCTGTACTGATAAACTCAATATCTCTCTCTTTTATATTTTTGAATGTGTTGTGGTTGTGTGGGATTAACAGATGGCAATGCTAACAAGAGATGATGTGAGAGGGGGCAAGAAGGTGACAAAATTTCAACTTGGGACTGAAACCAATCAAATCTAAGTTACTACTGAAACTCAATTTAATATTTTTGTTTTGTTCTTCAATATGTTCTTTGTTGTTCTGAAATTCTCAGTTTGTTCCTGTTCGCTTCGGTTCGGAGAAAAGCAATTGAATTTATGTTTTGCTTTCTAATCTCCCTTTTTTGTGTTTATTATCGTTCTGTTTGTTGTTTGTGAACTCAATTTAGCGATTTAATGGTTTTTCCTTTTTGCAGCTGGGTTCCATACGCCAGAGAACCAGCAAATGTGAGTAAAAAACTTATCGAGCTTTCCCTTCTTTTCATTATTTTCTTCGGTCTCTGTCTTATTCAACTATTGTGTGTTTATGGCTGTCTATAAATTGAGTTTCCTTATCCAAGCTCAACCAAAGATGATATTTATATGCGCAATCATGGCTCCTAGGAGTTCGTCTAATGAGCCACTTATGGGTTGTACCAAAAGTATGTGAAGTTGGCATTATAGACCAATCTGAAACTTTATGTAGCAGCTACTGCTTCGCTAGCTTTTGTGTGAGCCATTCTTTTGCTTTTACCTGCTGCCTCTTTTGAATTAATGATGCTTGCTCATGTTGATGTATATACACGTTTTTCCTGCAACTTCAGTTGAGGCCTTGCCATGTACATGTTCTTTCTGCAAATTTGCTGGATGCATATATTTTTTGTTTTCCTTTGTGCTCTGCTTAATTCTATTGAAGTGTTGAATGTAGATGTTCGGATTATTTCATTTGGTTTATCTGTAGGTTGTAGTCAATGATGTTGTAACAATTCTTGGTACGATGATGTTGCAGCCAAGGATGTGTCAAGAAACTATTTGAATGTTAGCACAAAAGAATTGCTACCAAGAGCTCAAAATCATGAGTTACACAAACATATTGCTTGCTTTCACATTCATGTTTAGAAAGTTGTGTCTTTATGTCAGATCCTTCTCTTCCAAGTTCTTTTTTTATATTTTTTTTGGAGCAGCTGCACTTTTTTGCCTGCTGCTGTGATGATGCTTCTGCAATGTTCATTTAACTTAGTAGCTTCACCACATTTTGCATTCTAGGCTATCTCTATCAACTACATGATGGTGTACCTGGGTATATACCTCTAAGTTTAATAGAATACAGATGCCACATTTTGAAATCAATACATTTTACCCTTTTCAGTAGTAATCTGTGGCATGAAATGAGGCTTCATTATGTTGTAGCATGATTTGCTTTGATTAGATGTGTAACCTTTATTATTCTTTAACAGTGCAAAGCACGCTGGAAGAGAAGAACATGAAATGTACTTACATTGATTTCCACAGTAATAATGGTCTCTTACTATGTTGAATGTACTGGGTACTGAGTGTTCTGCCAACACTTCATTTCTAGCAAGAAAACAACCATATACTTACTACTTCCCTATGAGTTGTTGATGATTGTGTTTTGTGCATGGACATCATTTTGATTTTATTTTTCTTTATGCTTATGCTGCAAAATTTAACGGGAAGGCAAGCTTGAAGCTTCTCGAGATTGATTGCGTGCTTCGGCAACAGCTTCTCCTTGCCTGGTGTTGTGTAGAAATGGATGAGGCCAATGCAAAGTTAACAGGTCATTCTTAATTCTTTATTTGTATTTTTCTGCTGTTGGATGAGACTGCCGCACAGTTTCGGGTCATTCTTCGATCTGCTCTTCACAGGCCTAATGTCGATGTTTAATCCTGTCCAGATTCCGGTAGTGGTCTGCTGTTGGATGAGACTAACGAACAATTTGATGTCATTCTTCTATCTGCACTTTACAGACCATAGAGGCTAACAAAAGGAACAACCGAACAGGTACCAAGTAATCCTTCTCTTCAGTTCTTCCTGTTTTAGCTTCCTATTTATAGTTCAAAAATCGTTCTTACAGTTTCTTGCCTGAATTCGATTGGTAAATAATATTTGGCAGGAGCTCATGGCGATAGTAAGCAGTTGTTATATTTAGGCTTTAGTTGAATAGATAAGGGAGAGAGGGACCAGGAAGGAAGAGAGAGATGTTTGATCAACCATATTATGGAGTAATATACTATTATGATTCTTTCTGCTAAAGAGGGGAAAGAAGGGTTTAGTTTGAAGGTGAAGATTTGATTGAAGAGGGAAAGGAAAGGGGAAAAGATGATTATGGATTTCTTGCCATTCCATGGTTGTTGGTTGTCTGCTGCATGGAACTAATTGGTACTTTATTTTCTCAATCAACTTTGTCTGAAGGTGCTAAAAATCATGCTATCTCGGAGGTCTAAAAATGTTATGTCTTACCAACTTCCAGTTCAGGTCTTCAACTTGATTTTCTTTTCCTGCTCAATTTCCAGGTTCTCTGTGTGTAGTCGGATTTTGGTCCTGCTACGCTCAAAACATCGGTTGATAAATATGCCTGTATTTTGTAGGATTGTATGCCCGACCCTCATGCATCCTAAGTAGATAACGTCATTTTGTATTAAATATATACGCTATTGTTTTTACATGATATGTAACTGATGCAATTTAAATATCTGCGGCGTAGCAGTGGGTATTGATTCTAGTACTAATAATTAGCATGCAGTTTTTAAAAGCCAATCAAACAAGGAGACAATCCAAGAGAGAGTATCGAATCCAAACCTCAATGATTTGATCCAGCTCATAAATGTTCAGCACTTGGTTGAATTGGGACTCACTAACACCATCCCTGGAAATACAAACACTAAAGGATAAGTACACATTCCAGGAAGTCGACAACATGATACAAATAATAGCAAGACACAGTGAACAACCATTCAGGCTAGTAAGTATTCAAGTAAAAACCAGTTCATTATACAATTAAGCATACCTGAATATGTGGCGCATTATAGTTTCTAATGCGTCGAGAGAACGAATCTACTTTACTTCTACTTCTACGAATACTACTAAACTAGTTTATTATTCATCGACGTACTAAAACCAAAGAACAACGTACATATTTATAGAACTACTCTACAAACCCTTTCTCTTTCAAACAAGGTAAACTAATCCTAACCCAACAAGTAATTAATAACTTCCTCAACAAGACACAATAAACTAATACGAATAACAATAATTAACTAATAATAATATCTAATTACTAAGTCCAACTCGGCACCAAGGCCTACGAGTTCTATAACGGGTGCTATAATGCACCAAACCTCCCCCCTTTGAAGAACTTCGTCCCCGAAGTTCAGGCGCCATCCCCGGATCGATGAAGAAGAAGCTTCCACGTAGCTTGTGATGGACGATCACGAGGCTTGGACGACGGCACCCACGCTTGCGATACTTCCAATTCAGCTTTAACACCCAATCCAATCCTCCATGATCAACCGCTCTAATTCCTCCTAAATTCTCTCCACCTGGGTTGAAACACCCTCCCCATGCCATCACTCCTTCTGGATCTCTATGAGGTGGGTAGGATAATTGGCTTACGTGGATTGGTTCTTCATTAGAGTTCAAAAATAGACTTGCCTCCTTCCACCCGTAACTCAAAACCTCTATATGACCACCATTCACGCTCCTTGACGTAATTCCCCCAACCCCTCGACCCATCCGTGGCATTGTCCCACCGGCAGTTCTGCAGTTCATTGCCTTCATTCGACTGGAGTTCTCAAGGAGGAATGAACAAGAATGTTGCCGATCGATAATGGTGACCTTATCATCGGATTCGTCCTCCCTTGAACTAAGCTTCACGCCATAGAGAAGACCTCCCGTCAACCCACCCATTGTCGATCCAATGCATCCTGGGACCAGCCCATTACGCACCAGTTCACACGAGATTCCTTTCGGACTTGAACCTGCGTTACCGACATACCCACCATTTGGACTCCACTCCAACTGTTCCTTCATCCCACGCGCACGACCTTGCGGGGAAGAGGACTTCATCGTGGCGAAGTCGATGGTAGCGAAAACATCCACCATCTTCAGCGTATCATTGTCCAAGGAATCCGCGGTCGCACCAACATCGTTTGAGTGTGCGGTTTGGTTGGCATCGAACTCCACTGACTCGGCTAGGGCTCCAGCCTGCGGCGATGGTAACTCGACAATGGGTTCCCGTTGTTTCTGCCTCTTCTTCCTATGATAGAGACGCCTCTCCCCTATAAGGCAGTCAGTTGCAAAATCGTCAAGGTCAGCCCTGTCATCAACAACTCCAAGACTTGCCGACGATGGGACGAGCGATCTCCCGAGCTTGTGATATGAGAGGCCGGACTCACCGTTACTCCCGGCGAGGCCGAGACGGAACTTCTCAGTCCGTGTGGCATCCTCGCTAGTTGTCGTTGTTGGCGATGCAATCAGTGGTGGTGAGGCGATCGCTTGGCGGTTAGAATCCCAACCTGCAATGGGCTCTGACAACGACGGCGGAGCTGCGGTTAGCTTTTCCGCGAATGCTGGAGGATTGAGGGGTTCGGCAGTAGTTGTTGTCCTTTTATCAGGATCATTGAATCCCTGCAACGTAACCCATGATCCCTTCTCTTTAAAACGAACGGTAGCCTTCTTCCAATTAAAAGATATCGGACTTGCTTGATCAAGCCATGGAACGCCGAGAACAACGTCAACTCCGCGTAGCGGTAGCTCATACAAGTCGACTTGAAGTTGTACCCCTTGTATCTCAATTGGGACGGCTGTATAGCATCGTTCGCACCATATGAAATCTCCATGGGTGGCCCTCACTTTTAAAGGTTTAATCGGAGTAGCTCTTAAGAACAATTTCCCGACAGCTTCACAACTCACAAAATTGTGCGAGGATGCACTATCGACGAGGACGGCAGCTGGTTCTTGATGGATGGTGGTGTCGAAGCGGATGATTGTGGGCCTGGGAACGCCGGTGAGAGCAGAGAGCGAGATCTCTGCTGTGGCCAGAATAGGTGATTTATCCGGCGGCTCGTCAATCTCGATCGGCGGTTCTCCATCGACAAGCTGCCGAGCTCCATCCCTCGACAACCTTCTGCGTTCGTCCAGTTGCTTCCGGATGATAGAAGACCTCTCACCGATCTGCGAAAAGCATGCCCTATATGCGAGCATCATCGAGCTCGGTTCTGCCGAACCAGGCACTGATACCAATTGGCGCATTATAGTTTCTAATGCATCGAGAGAACGAATCTACTTTACTTCTACGAATACTACTAAACTAGTTTATTATTCATCGACGTACTAAAACCAAAGAACAACGTACATATTTATAGAACTACTCTACAAACCATTTCCCTATCAAACAGGTAAACTAATCCTAACCCAACAAGTAATTAATAACTTCCTCAACAAGACACAATAAACTAATACGAATAACAATAATTAACTAATAATAATATCTAATTACTAAGTCCAACTCGGCACCAAGGCCTACGAGTGCTATAACGGGTGCTATAATGCACCAATATGATTATCTGATCAGGCTTCCTTTTCCCTGAGCTCACGTAATAGTATGTGTACAAGACCCACTCGATCCACATCTTCACGTCGTCTCTGCAAATTGCGTCTTGGTTCCTCCGTTTCCTGCGCTTTCTTTTCTTCCAATCATGCTCTATCTCTTCTCTTGGGCCTCTTGCACTGATCTCGCCATGTTGGTTCAACCCTTCGAATTTCATTTCCATAGGCCTACTCTCCACTTTCTTGCTCAGTTCGCCTTCCATTGTTGGTCTCCCACTCACGTAATTTAAGGAAGTTAAATATGCTTTCTTGTACAAAAATTTACCCTTAAGCACCAACTCCTCTAGGCCTTCAAGAATTTTTCTTGGAGCTAGCCCATAAACTTCTCCAATTGCATTTGGCCAATGCTTCCTTGAAAGTCCAACCATCAATTTAATAAACTCATTTTCTTCCAAGCCCACCATAGGAGTACTCATGCAAGGCCCAGCCTTCAGCAGGAAGCCCACGACTACCATTTTGCTTGGCTCACGGCTTAGCTTCAGCTTTGCCCGCCTTATCCCAACTCGCAACCCAGTAGGCAGATGCAAATGTTCTGGATCGAGCCCAACAGTCTATTCCTTAAGCCCATAACCGATGGCTCCTTTATCCTTCCCTAGCAAACAGTCTACTCCTCCCGGCCCAAGCAAGATCTCGGCCCTACACATTGAGCCCAACAAGGCTCTGTTGTGGCGTGTCGCGCTCGCGCAAAACACAAGAGACGACCTAGAGTTTGGGTAAAGAACGGCGTCGCCCCCACTTTCTTTGTGCGCCGTCAACTTTGATCTATCCGCTGATGACGACGTCTTCGTCTGCACTAAGAAATAAGAAGAAGGAGATGTAGAAGAAGAGTTGCTAGGTTAAGCAGCAGAATGATTGAAGGGGAAAATCTCAGAGAGGCATCGTGCTCTCTCTTTCTCTATTTATACTACTGTTTGTTACTACAGTATAAACTGAAATGTAAAACTGTAATTTGAAATAAAATAAATTGTGCCTAACACGTGGCATTTAACGATACAGCAGCTACTTAACGGCTAGCTAACAGAGTAAAGTGCTCTATTCTTCATTTCTGCATTTCTTCACTTCTGCACTTCTTTTCCCTTGTTCTTCGACTCTGTTTGCCCAGCATCACTTCCATTCTTCTGCTCTAATACTCCCCCGCAAGTTGGTGAGTGCATATCCACAACTCCCAACTTGTCAAGCAAGTACTTCAATCGATATCGAGTCATCCCTTTTGTGAACAAATCAGCAAGTTGATCATCTGTCCTCACATGTTCAAGTTTGATTAGCCCAGATTTCAGTCTTCCTCTGGTGATATGGCAATCAATTTCAATGTGTTTCGTTCTCTCATGAAACACAGGATTTTCAGTTATGTGAATAGCTTATTTGTTGTCACAATAAACCTGTATAGGTAGAGGAACTTTCACATCCATCTCTGCAAGTAATCCCCTAAGCCACTGCAGCTCACAAACTAACTGTGCTAAAGCCCTGTATTCAGCTTCAGAGGATGATCTGGATACAGTTGTTTGCTTCTTAGACTTCCAAGTTATCAAACTGTCTCCAAGCAATGTGCAGTAGCCAGTAATAGATCGTCTTGTATCAGGGCAACTCGCCCAATCTGAATCTGAGAATCCACTTAACTTCAAATCTGATTCAGCCTTGAAATTTAAACCTTGTCCTGGAGCATGTTTCAAATATCTTAAGATCCTATAGGCAGCTTGCAAATGCTCACTATAAGGATCCTTCTGAAACTGACATAATTGTTGTATTGCAAAGGTCAAGTCTGGTCTTGTGACTGTAATATAATGCAATCTACCTACTAACCGTTTGTAAACTTCAGGATTTGGCAAAGGCTCTCCCTGCTTGGCAGTAAGCTTCAGCTTGTAATCAATTGGTGCCAAGCAGTCTTTTGCTTCTAATTAGCCAGTATCTTCCAATAGTTCCATACCGTACTTCCTTTGGTTCACATGAATACCCTTGCAATCTCTGAACACTTCCCGTCCAAGGAAAAACTTCAAATTACCAAGATCTTTCACTTTAAACTCTCTTCCCAAGAACAGTTTGAGTTGTTCTATATCTCCCAATGAACTTCCTGCAATTAGAATATCATCAACATACACCAATACAACAAGAATCCTTCCCTAAACTCTTTTGACAAACATTGAGTAATCTGAGGCTGCCTGTGCAAAACCATTCTTCAACAAAGAACTAGCTAACTTGGCAAACCATTGCCTGCTAGCTTGTTTCAAGCCATAAAGAGACTTCTTCAGTCTTAGAATCATCTTCTTATCGGCTAACTCCATGCCAGGTGGGGGCTTCATGTAAACTTCCTCATTTAATTCCCCATGGAGGAAAGCATTTGATACATTCATCTGATGTATAAGCCAATCATTTGCAGCAGCAACAGCTAGTAATACTTTAACAGAATTAATTTTAGCAATTGGGGAAAATGTGTCCATGAAGTCTATCCCATAGATTTGTGTGAATCCATTAGCTACTAATCTATCTTTGAACCTTTCTATAGTGCCATCTGCTCTGAGCTTCACCTTATACACCCATTTGCAGCCTATAGCCCTTTTTCCTGGTGGCAGGTAAGCTGGTTCCCAAGTCTGATTTGCTTCAAGTGCATCAGACTCATCTTTCATGGCTTGATTCCAACATAACTCTTTACAAGCTTCTTCATAAGAACGTGGTTCTACAACAGCCATTGCACTCATCACATATGCTTTATGTGCAGGTGGCAAATTCTCAAAGGTCACATAATGTTCCATAGAGTACTTCTGAACTGATCCCACCTTATAATCCTTATGCCAAACTGGGACAGTCTTGTGTATATCAGACTTCCTCAACTCAGGATCAGGTCCTTCTCCATCTTCAAAGTCAAGTTGTTCCACCAACTAATCATCAGCATATGCTCCCCCTTCAGAGTTCACTCCTGGAGACTCTACTGTTTCATCAATTGGGGATGCTGGCAATGTGTCAAGTGAGGGACTAGAAGAAGGAGTTGAAAAAGGGGTGAAGGAGTAGAAGAGGTGGAAGGAAGTGAAGTCTGATAAGGCAAAAAGGATGGTGGAAAAGGATCAAAGGATTGAGGAACATTAGGAAAAAGAGGAGCAGTGGAAGGAGAAGTAGCTTGTGGTGGTGGTGTAGAAGAATCAGGAGAAGAAGAGGTGGGAAGAAAAGGAAATATGGTTTCATAAAAGACCACATGTCGTGAAATGAAATTTGGTGAGTGTTGAGGTCAAACAGTTTGTAACCTTTGATTCCCGTAGGGAACCCAAGGAAGACACATTGCCTAGCCCTGGGGCTGAATTTGGTTCTATCCCTTAGTAAAGTGGATGCATAACACAAACAACCAAACACTTTAAGTAAATGCCAATCTGGTTGTTTATGATAAAGCAACTCAAAAGGTGAAATTCCATCTGTGACTGGTGAAGGCAGCCTGTTGATAAGAAAGACAACATGGAGGATGCAATCGCTCCAAAAGTGCAAGGGCAAGCCTGATTGAAAACGTAAAGCCCTGGCAACATTGAGAATATGCTGATGTTTTCTTTCAATTCGAGCATTCTGCTCTGGAGTTTCTACACAAGATAGCTGATTCTCAATGCCATGGGTATTATAGAAGTCTAACATGTGGAATTCATTCCCCTGATCACTTCTAATGACCTTAACATTCTTGTCAAACTGTTGTTTAACCATGACACAGAAAGACTGAATAAGAGAAGAAGCTTCTGACTTCTGTTTCATCAAAAATGCCCAGATACTTCTTGTGTAATCATCCACAATAGATAGAAAATACGAATAACCTTCATGAGACTTAACAGCAAGTGGTCCCCAAATATCAACATGGATCAAAGCAAAAGAAGAGACTGCTCTACTGTTACTAAGGGAGAAAGGAAGTTTCCTTTGTTTGGCTAAATGACAAGTGGAACAATGCTTAACAGAAATCCTATTACATCTAGTAGCTTGATCCTCTCGTTCTCTACTTGGATTCCCCAGTCTTCAATGCCAAAGGTCAATCTGATGTGGCTCAAAGTTATAAATGGTTGCAGCCTGGTGTGTGTAGGAATAGTAGGTGATGGACTTGATGTAGTGATGAGGTGGTAAAGGCCTTTATCCTGTTTTGCTGAACCAATCAGGTTCTTAGTTGTTTGGTCCTGAATATGACAAGAGTCAGATTCAAATATCAAGGAAATAGGCATGTCTTGGGTGAGTTTACTAATGGATACCAGGTTGAATGTAAAGCTTGGGACTAGGAGGACATTGTATAAACCATTAGGTAATTGGACTGAGCCTATATGGCTAACTGCTACCTTAGAGCCATTAGGTAGGTAAACAAACTGATTTGAAACAGTCCTAACTTAATACAGCAAGTGTGCATGCTATATGATCTGAAGCTCCAGTATCTAAAATCCAGATCTGAGCTAGAGCCATCAATCCATGTTGAGCATAGGAAGAGAGAACATATTTACCAACATAAGTAGGATGAGAAGGGAGTTGTTGTGATACTGAGAATGAAGCATGCTGGATGGAAGGATACAGTGGTGGTGAAGGGCTCATGCTGTCAGGCTGATGCAAAAGAAGCTTCAACTTGTTTAGTTCTCTGGAGTGAAACCAAGAGTATTGTTTGAGGAAGATCGACTCTCATAACCAACACTTTGTCCTGAAGAATTGGAATCCCCACTTTGAGAATCTGAGGTAGTGACTAAGCCAGCAAAAGTTCCACCTTCTCCCATACGTGCTTT